GTTCAACATAATAGCCACAGATTGCCCAGGCTGGCCTCGAACTCACAGCGATCCGCCTGGCTCTGCCTCCCGAGTGCTGGGATTAAAGGCGTGCGCCACCACCGCCCGGCTCGTTTATTTGTGTTTTATGTGCATTGCTGTTTTTCCTGCATGATAACACCTCACATGTCCGTTGTGTGCCGGATCCCCTGGAACTGTGGGTGCTGGGAACTGAACCCAGGTCCTCTGGAAGAGTAGACAGTGCTCTTAACTGCTGAACTCTCTGGCTCTGCTATTCTTTTTTTTTTTTTAAGATTTATTTTTTATTTTAAATTTTATAAACTGTCTTATGATAACTTGCAAAAATAAAATCACAGGTCAAAAATTAGCCATATCCCAAGCCTGACTTCTCAATGAACTTCTGTAGAGTTAGACTAGCCATCTGGAATGGAAGCTTGGAGTTTACATTTTTATTATCAAATATATTTTTATGCATATATTCAGCACCCAAAACAAAAATCCATGACAGAGTTAGAAGCAGGAAAACTATCAGCTTTATCGCCTCTTTTGTAACTTGATACCTGCAATCAGTTCTTTCTCATCCTCTAATCTGCAGCCTTGTTTTCTTTTCAACATGCTATGCTGTGCCCACACATATATTTGTTGACGGACAGACATATATGATCGTATGGGTATTTATTTATTTTTAATTGTGTGTCTGTGTGAGACAATGTGTGTATGTGTACCATATACATGCAGGAACCTGTGGAGGCCAGAAGAAAGTGTCAGGTTCTTTCGAACTGGAGTGACAGGTGGCTAATGTGGGTGCTTGGACTTGAACCCAGGTTCCCTGCAAGAGCAACAAATCTCTCTGTTTCTGTCTCTCCTGCCCTCCCCTCTGAAGATGGGTTGCACTATGTAGCCCTGGATGGCCTGCAACTCACTATGTAGACCAGCTGGATCCCATCTGTGTCTGTCTCCCCAGTGTTGGGACTAAAGGTGTGTACCACCACGGCTGGCACAGCGAACATGCGTAACTCTCCAAACTCAAGCTTGCTGTTCTCGTCTGCTCTCCCCACTCCAGCATCTACTAATAGCTTCTGGGGATTTTACCACATTGGTTCAGTCTGTCCTATTTTTAAAATGACCACGAATAGGGCCTTTCAGATGACTTAGGGAACTGTGGTTGGTATGTAAAATGAAAGAAATTTAAATAAATAAAAAGGAAAGAAAAAAAAAAGATGACTTAGCCAGGAGCAGGGGCTCATGTCTTTAATTCCAGCACTCAGGAGGCAGAGGTAGATGGATCTCTGAGTTCGAGGCTAGCCTAATCTACTGAGTGAGTTCCAGGACAGCCAGAGCTACATAGAAAAACCCTGTCTCAAACAAACAAAGACAAAAAAAACAAAAAAAAGTTGACTTAGCAGATTTTTAAAATGGTGCCTGCAGACAGCCCTGACTTCTATAGACAAACCTGAGTTCTTGCCCCAGAAACCACACAGTAGAAGAAGAGAATCAACCCCCCAAAGTTGTCCTCTGCTCTCCACACATGTGCCACAGCATATGGACACACACACACACACACACACACACACACACACACACACACTCACAAACAAATGTTTAAAAAATTAAAAACCTACAGATGTACTGAAAACATTGTTGTTGTTTTTGCTTTTTGAAACAGGGTTTTTCTGTGCAGTTTTGGTGTCTGTCCTGGATCTTGCTCTGTAGACCAGACTGGCCTCAAACTCACAGAGATTCACCTGGCTCTGCCTCCCAAGTGCTGGGATTAAAGGCATGGGCCACCACCGCCCAGCTGTACTCAAAATACTGTACAAAATACAAGAGCTGGGCATGGCCGTGTATTAGGGTTCTCTAGAGAAGCAGAACCAATAGAAGGTATATATATTATAAAAGGTGTGTGTGATGTATATGTATATACATGTTCTTGTGAACGTGTGCACATGAACATGTGTATATACACTCATGTGAAGGACAAAGGTCATGTGGAGGTCAGATATCTCTCTTGTTTGATCTCCACCTTATTTTTTGAGACAGGGTCTCTTACTGAACCTGCCACTCACTATTCAGCGAGGCTGATGGCTGACTGAACCACAGGAATCCTCCTGTCTTGGCCTCCCCATCACCAGGGATTATGTGGGTTCTGGGGATCTGAACTCATGTCCTCATGCCTGAGTGACCGGCATTTTACTGACAAGTCTTCCCAGCCATGAGGCTAGCTTTGTCTGGGTCTTTTGTCAGGTGTGTCGCTCATACTGGCCTGAAACTGGTGACTCTCCTGCCTCAGCCTCCTGAGTGCTGGGACGACAGGTATGTACCATCATTCCAACTTTGCCAATTCAGTTTGTGCAGCATTCTGCCCCCCTGTGGTGAGAGGCCTTGTCCTACCTGGGCAGCCAGTGGGGACCAGGCTGCTCTAGGGTCAGCTTCCTTTGACAGGCTGGCCACGTAGTGATTGTCCTTGGTGGCCCCCTCAGGCTCTGCCCTTGGCTTTCTCTCTCCCAGGCTGAACCTCCGGGAGCTGGGCCCCTGGGCCTCCCACATGCGCTGGCTGGTCTGGATCATGGCCTCCACTGGTACTATCTATGTCTTTTTCTTCCATGAACGGTAAGTCAGGGCTGGGGGACTCACACTGGTGAGTTGTCCCTTAATTCTTCAGTACCACCTGCTCAGCAGCCTCAAGCAGGTGAGCCCCCATGACCCCCAAAATGCCTTCATCCTACCATTGAGGACCATGGCTGTACACCAGGTCCCATGGCCCAGAGGGACACATCTAAAGCAGTGTGTGTGTGTGTGTGTGTGTGTGTGTGTGTGTGTGTGTGTGTGTGTGTGTTTAGGGGCCAGAGTTTAATGCTGGCCAGTGAGCTCTAGAGATCCTCCTGTCTCCCATCCGAAAATGAGGTTGCAGATGTGTGTGATCATGCCTGACTTTTATGTGGGTGTGGGGATCTGAACTCAGGTCTTCATGCTCATACAGAAAACCCTTTACCAGTGAAGCCATCTCCCTGGGCCCTGAATGTTTCCCCCCGAAAAAAAAAATCATAGTGGGTGTTGGGGAGATGGCTCTGTTGGTGAAGTTCCTGTTGTTCAAGCATGAAGTACTGAATTTGATCCCCGGGACACACTTTAACAGCTGGGCACAGTGGTGTACCCATTGTCCCTCTGCTGAGGAGGTGGAAACAGGAGGATCCCTAGGACTTGCTGGTCAGCCACCTTACCTTACTTGGCAAGATCCCCATCAGTAAGAGACCCCTTCTCAAGGTGGACAGCACCCGCGAAATGACACTTGAGGCTACTCTTTGGCTTCCACACATATGTGCTCACACCTCATACATATATGCATCTGCGCACCCATGAACACACACACACACACACATCAAAAAATTTTACTTTGTGTATGTGTGTCTGTGTGCATGTATATGTACGTATGTATGTAGGTGCCCAAGGAGGCCAGAAGAGGGTGTCAGATCCCTAGAGCTGGAGCTGTAGGTTGTTAGGAGCTGCCTGTTGTGGGTGCTGGGATTCGAACTACACATGCTCTTAACTGCTGAGCCGTCGATTCAGCACCCTATCCTCTCTAGATCATTTTTTATGACATCATAGGATACTTGACCCACTAAGTGGACTAGGTCACATGTCACCTGCCTTCCCTAAATGTGGTATCAGATAATGGGGAACGGCTTTAAGAGGTCACCCTGAAACCTTTTTTTTGTTTTTTTTTCCCCTGCTTTGGGACTGGAATGACAGTCAGGGAAGCAACAGAAAATAACCAAGTCCTACAAACACGAGCAGACAGGGCCTCCAGGAGACAGACAGTCCAGAATGGCATAGGGCTCGGGTCACCTAGCAATTCAGCAAATCTGAGAATGGCTGCTTGGGTCCTGTGGGAGAAGATACTGGGATTAATTAGTAATGTCTGCCATAGGCCACACATTGGCGAAATCCATATACTTGCTATGCTTAAACTTGCAATGCATGTTCTACCTACAGTGTAAACTTTAGAAGCTCAGAAACAGGCTCAGAGAAGCCAAGGGGCTTGTCATAAGATTTGCCCAAGGTCACGCGACTCCCATTACCCATTGATGTGACTGGGCAGAATATGAAAAGAGGAGTTCCACACAGAAAAAAAATCTCCTCTTCTCACTGTGTTGGTCTTCAGCGACAGAAAGTTGTGTGCTCTGTCCCTTTTTGGAAGCTTGTCCTGAGACTACATGATTTGTCTTCCCAGGTACAAGCTTGTGGAGCTGCTCTGCTATGTGGTGATGGGATTTTTCCCTGCCTTGGTCATCCTCTCCATGGTAAGTCCCACTTGCCCAGGGTGAGGACACCCATCTTCTGGAAGGAACACATGCGTGAGCTGGACCTGCCTCTTGAGACTATCAATCAAGCCCTCTCCTCTGGCAGCATGGGAAACAGAAGCTGAGTGGGTCTGTGTGCTTGCCTAAGGGGACAGAGAACAGGGAGAGCTCGCCTGGGAACTGCAGTATCCCTTGTGCCTAAGTCTGAGGTTAGGTCTCCATATCCTATGAAGGCGACTAGACAGCTCGGGCATGGCACTGTCCATGGTGCCTGGCACATAGTACCTGCTGAGAAACACTGGGTGCTTTGACTACTGTGTGGTTAACATTCAGTGACAATACTCTTGAGGACTAGGGAATATGTTACCGTGTGTGTGTGTGTGTGTGTGTGTGTGTGTGTGTGTGTGTGTGTGTGTGATGAGATACCTTAGAGCTATTCACAATACCACCCAAAATGTTTTAGATTCATTTTTTTGCCGCATGACAAATAGTGACTTAGAGGGCTGGACTGGAGAGGTGGCTCAGTGGTTAAGAGCACTTGTTGCTCTTGCAAGCCAACCTGAGTTTGGTTCCCTGCACTTAAGTCAGGTGGCTTACAAACACAAACACTTTTAACTCCAGGCAATCTGATGCCCTCTTCTGGCCTCCATAGGTACTGCATAGAAATGGGGCATAGACCCTCCCTCCCATATACATACACATAACTAAAAATGAAATATTTTTTAAAGCGGTTTAGAAAAGAAAGGGTTTATTTGGATCACAATTGCAGGTTACAGTCCATAATTTCGGGGAAGCCCAGGCAGGGATCTTGAAGCAACTAGTGACAACCACAATCAAGAGCAGAGAGAAATGACTAATTCTACTGTCATACAGTGCAGGACTCAAATCCAGAGACTGGTGCTGCCCATTTTTAGGCTTTGTCTTCAGACATCAGTTATAATAATCAAGACAATCTCCTATGGACAGACCCACAAAGCAACATGATCTAGACATTTCCTTGTGACTCTCTTCTCTGGTAATTCTAGATTGTGTGGAATTGGAGGTTAAAATTAAGCACCACATGGGATCTTTAAGATTTCAAAGAGACGTTTTTTTATTTCTTGAGAGGGTCTCCTGAAGCCCAGGCTTGCCTCAAACTCATTATGTAAAATAGTGTTGCTTTTTCAAGGCTGAATAACATTCCTCATGTCCAGTTCTTTCTTTCTTTCTTTCTTTCTTTCTTTCTTTCTTTCTTTCTTTCTTTCTTTCTTTCTTTCTTTCTTTCTTTCTTTCTTTCTTTTTTTTCTGTTTTAATTTGTGTTGTTTGCATGAGACAGAGTCCTGCTCTGTAGCCCAGGCTGGCCTTGAACCCCTTCTTCCTCTGCCTGCTCAGTCCTCGGGTTGCAGGCAGGTGCCACTTGCCCAGTCTACAAGAGAATTTGTTTTGTGGCTGTTCAAGTTGTAGAAAGACAAGGACAGTGGAACCTGACTGACCTAAAGATGGTTAGGTCCTATGTGCCAGTACAGATGATGGGCACGAGTGTGGCTTCCTGCATTCAGGTTAGGCGACTCACAAACACCTGTAACTCCAGCTTAGGGGGTCTAGTGCTCTCTTCCTGCCTCCTTGGGCACCCACACACATATGGTGCACACACACACACACACACACACACACACACACACACACACACACAAACAAATAAATAAATAAATTTTTAAAAAGCTGGCATGATGTGTGCCCTTGTAATCCCAGCACTGGGAAGGATTTCTGAACTTGCTGGCCAGCCAGTATAGCCTTACCGATGAGCTCCAGGCTAGTGAGAGACCCTTTCTCATAAAAACAAGGTGAGTGGTCAGGTGCTGGGGGCTTATAATCCCAGCACTTGAGAGGTAGAGGCAGGTGGATCTCTGAGTTTGAGGCCAGCCTGGTCTACAGAGCAAGTTCCAGGACAGCTAAGGCTATACAGAGAAACCCTGTCTTCAAAACAAAACAAAACAAAACAAAACAAAACTGAAAGTGGATGGTGTCCTGAGGAGCAGTGCTTGAGGTGGACTTCTGACCTCTACATGCATGCACATGTACCACACACCACACAT